AGAAGTTCAGGCTGCATGTGGAAGAAGGTGATATTCTATATGCCATGTATGTTCGCCAGACTGTACTTAAGGTTATCAAATTCCTAATCATCATTGCATATAATAGTGCTCTGGTTTCCAAGGTCCAGTTTACAGTGGACTGTAATGTGGACATTCAGGACATGACTGGATATAAAAACTTTTCTTGCAATCATACCATGGCACACTTGTTCTCAAAACTGTCCTTTTGCTATCTGTGCTTTGTTAGTATCTATGGATTGACGTGCCTTTATACCTTATACTGGCTGTTCTACCGTTCTCTACGGGAATATTCCTTTGAGTATGTCCGGCAGGAGACTGGAATTGATGATATTCCAGATGTGAAAAATGACTTTGCTTTTATGCTTCATATGATAGATCAGTATGACCCTCTCTATTCCAAGAGATTTGCAGTGTTCCTGTCTGAAGTCAGTGAAAACAAATTAAAGCAGCTGAACTTAAATAACGAATGGACTCCTGATAAACTGAGGCAGAAGCTACAGACAAATGCCCATAATCGACTGGAATTGCCTCTTATCATGCTCTCTGGCCTTCCAGACACTGTTTTTGAAATCACAGAGTTGCAATCTCTAAAACTTGAAATCATTAAGAACGTAATGATACCTGCCACCATTGCACAGCTAGACAATCTTCAAGAGCTCTCTCTGCACCAGTGTTCTGTCAAAATCCACAGTGCAGCACTCTCTTTCCTGAAGGAAAACCTCAAGGTCTTGAGCGTCAAGTTTGATGACATGAGGGAACTCCCCCCCTGGATGTACGGGCTCCGAAATCTGGAAGAGCTGTACCTAGTTGGCTCTCTAAGTCATGATATTTCCAGAAATGTCACCCTTGAGTCTCTGCGAGATCTCAAAAGCCTTAAAATTCTCTCTATCAAAAGCAATGTTTCCAAAATCCCTCAGGCAGTGGTTGATGTTTCCAGCCATCTCCAGAAGATGTGCATACATAATGATGGCACCAAGCTGGTGATGCTCAACAACTTAAAGAAGATGACCAATCTGACAGAGCTGGAGTTGGTCCACTGTGACCTGGAGCGTATTCCTCATGCTGTGTTCAGCCTACTCAGCCTCCAGGAATTGGACCTGAAGGAAAACAATCTGAAATCTATAGAAGAAATCGTTAGCTTTCAGCACTTGAGAAAGTTGACAGTGCTAAAACTGTGGCATAACAGCATCACTTACATCCCAGAGCATATAAAGAAACTCACCAGCCTGGAACGCCTGTCCTTTAGTCACAATAAAATAGAGGTGCTGCCTTCCCACCTCTTCCTATGCAACAAGATCCGATACTTGGACTTATCGTACAATGACATTCGATTTATCCCACCTGAAATCGGAGTTCTACAAAGTTTACAGTATTTTTCCATCACGTGTAATAAAGTGGAAAGCCTTCCAGATGAACTCTACTTCTGCAAGAAACTTAAAACTCTGAAGATTGGGAAAAACAGCCTATCTGTACTTTCACCGAAAATTGGAAATTTACTATTTCTTTCCTACTTAGATGTAAAAGGTAATCACTTTGAAATCCTCCCTCCTGAACTGGGTGACTGTCGGGCTCTGAAGCGAGCTGGTTTAGTTGTGGAAGATGCTCTGTTTGAAACTCTGCCTTCTGATGTCCGGGAGCAAATGAAAACAGAATAACTTATTTTTCGTTAAAGTTTGACTGAAACACGCTTCTACCAAATACAGTATGAATAATTAGGTAGTCTTAATGCCTTTCCTATTTTATTTTTTTTTTCCTTTTCACACAAAACAAAATGTACACAAAGATTGCGTAAGGAGTATGTATTTTTAATAAAAATTTAATTGTATTTTTTCAATATTAATATTTTAAAGTTTTATTTGTCTTGAAACACAATGTATCTATTATCTACTGACAGAAAGAGATGGTTCCATTTGGTTTTTTGTTTTTGTTTTTTAGTTCATTCTTTTGGAAAGGAGGGAATTATAAGTTGCATGCTTTTTGGCATTTTTTAAATAGAGGAAGATATTTTGCCAAGGCCATTTTTAACTTGTTTACACCTGTACAGGTTTCTTATTTTTGTTTTCATTGTGTGTGTATCAAGGAATCTGTGCTAGTTATTTTAATACCAGCTGCCTTCTCCATTGGCCAAGACCTTCATTCAGTGGAACTTCACATAAGTGCATTGTCGTAGAGTATTTTAAATGTTCCCCTGCCTCCAACAAAACCCTAAATTGTATTATTTCATATACCTGACAGTTCTTGTTATCCTTAGGCAAGGTTTTTGTGAGTGAAGAAAATAATCTTCAGTGGCTGGTATGTTTGAATTAGTCCTTTATCATTTAACTTATTTGCATTTTACCAACATTTTAAAAATATTTAAAACCTAAATACAGAGGCTCCTCCCACCTTAATCTCAATACTGCTATGTAGTCCTGGTGAACAACCTTGGAGAACCTAGATTTATTTTAATATTCTAGTAGGTAATTACATTTAAAAATCATAGAATTAGAAGCCTGGTTTTTGAGTAATTTAATCATCTTTCATATCTTGATATGCGGCTGCATCAGATGGAAAAAAAATTTACTAAAGCACCCTGTTAAAGAGCTGGTATGCTCCAATGAGGCCCTCTCCTTTTCTCAGCACAGTGTGGCAGTGGTAATCTATTCAAATTTTGCCTGTTGCACAAAATAATCCAGTTATATATACAGTCAGCCTTCCGTACTTGTGGGTTCTGCATCTGTGGATTCCACCAACTGTAGATGGAAAATATTCAAAAAGAAAGTTGTGTCTGTGCTGAATATGTACAGACTTTTTCCTTGTCATTATTCCCTAAACAATACAGTGTAACAACTATTTAAAAAGCATTTACATTGTTTTAGGTATTATAAATTACCTAGAGATAATTTAAAGTATATGGGAGGATGTGCATAGGTTATATGCAATTTCTGCACCATTTTATATCGAGAATTTGAACATCCTCAGATTTTGGTGTCCGAGGGCATCCTGAAATCAATTCCCCATGATACTGAGGGATGACTGGATATTAATCGATTTCCCTCAAGCCTGCCCTTGCTGCGAATACTAGTGCTACAAGCACAGGAACTCCATCTGCTCTCTGGCTTAAAATATGTATCTCATCTAAAATTGTTCGTTGAAGTGTGAATACATTGCTAAGTGGTTGTTGCTTAGCAATAATTTTTGCCTGACCATCAGCAGAGCTTTTATTTACCTTTGTACTTAAAATACAACATAGCATGGGCTCTTGGGCAAAGTATTTCACTGACTATTAAGCATGTAGAACAGGAAAATGAAATACACTATTTGTGCCCTTGACCCAGAACCAGAACCATTGATTATGATAACTTTGTTTTCTGTACCAAATTCACATTGACCATTTTCTGAGCTCTGGACTGATCATAGTAAGTTTTGTGACTTAACAATGAAAGAAAGTAGAAAGATGCTTTGGGTTTTCCAAATGTTGTTTTTAAAAATTGCTCGTTGGGTGAACTGACCCAATGCTACTTTGACTTGTATACAGAAACCAATGATGGGAATTGCTCCTCAGAAATGTGTGCCTAAGTTGTGTTTTCAACTTTACGATACATCATGGGGTGAAGCATTAGGGAAAGAGATTCTTTTGATTTGTTTAATAATCTAATTATACAGACCAAAGTGCTTTAAGTTTCTGCTCTATGTTAATGTTTTAGAATGGTGATTTTGCTGATTAATTTAGACCCAAAATTGAAATAATGTGCTCAGAATAATAACATGATTATAGTTCTTGTATGATAAAGTATTCAGTTTCAGAATATTGTTGGGATCCTGAGTTTGAACAGTGTGTTGTATTTAGAAACATAGTCCTATCTGTTTTAAACAAATAATTTGTTGGCCGATTGTCCATGGTTGAGCATGACAAAAATACCTTGTTGAAAGGCAAGCTTAGGTAACTGCTGGCAAAACACCAGGTGCACTATTTTTCTGGATAAAATTTATAGTTATTTTCTATATTACCCTTCAAAAGGGATCTCTTCAGGTTAAAAATCACACTTATGCTGAAGTCTTTATCTGGTGTTAACTAAAAATCTCATATGGGTTCGTAACTGAGGTCACTAATAATTCATTTTTATCACTTGTAAAAATTTGCTTAAAATTCCAAAAAATATTGATTTGGTTTTTAATGATTTTGCAAGCTGACCCCCAACCTAAGTTTTGATAACATTTAGTAAGTCAATATAGCTCTATGACTTCATGCTATAACTAAGAAGGAAAATTCAGATATTCCTATTAGATTTTATAAACCTTCAAAAGTCTCAAACTTAATTTTGAGTCTAAATTTTCTGACACTGGCCCTTTTTAATATTGTAAGTTTTTGTTCACTTAAGTAAAAAACATTTAATTACTATTTAGCCTTTAAATGGGAAACTCAGGTAATGAACTGCTGACTTTTCTAAAGTTCTTTAACTGATCAATTCAGTATAGAGGGATATTTATCTAATCACTTTATGTATTTTACAAGTGCTCTTTCTAAAAAGGAATAACTAGTATAGCTCTATTTCCCCAATCTCTATAGGACTCATGAGAAATTGCTTGTGTAAATATAAAAGCACCATATGTGTTCTTAACTCTTATGGCTGCTTGAAGCTCATGATGGATAAGTCTTTTTGTCAGTTTTAATTGTTAAGTACAGAACAAACAGTTGTTTGGTGACGGCCTGGTTGAAAGAGAGCATATAAGTATATCCCAATAGAACTCACCAAAGAAGACCACACCTCAGAAACGATTGCATTTTCTTGTTATGTGTTGGGTTTGATTTGCTTTTTTTTAATACAGCTCTTTCAATATAAAGATTCTTGATACAATGAAATCTCTTGAATTTCAAGTGTAAGTTTTTCTTATTCTTCACCCACCCCTCCCCCTGCCATTGTAGTTCCTATCTATTTAAAGGAGTTTCAACAATTTACATTGCATCGTATGCAGTAGGTACTGCTTTTTCAGAAAGACGTGGAAAACACACCTGCTATGAGTATTTTGTTCAGATGTAGCCATTTACCTGGCTCTCAAGTCGTCTTTGTGGAGCGGGTCTTAGACAGAAATCTTCCTTGTATTTACTTGGGGTAAGTGAAGTCCAAATTCTTAAAGTATACTATTTCAGGATTTCTGATATTAAAAAAGAGAAAACAAAATCATTATATCTCTTATTAACACTTCCCCCAAGAAGGGTTGTGCTGTTATTTATTTTCTATTATAAGAAAAGTTCATTCTTTAAGTAGTTTCTTTTACCCTCTAATCTAATTTCATACCAAATACCTAATCAATAGAAATGATATATTTCAACAGCAAACATTCCTAATCCATCGTTATAAAAAGTGTCAGCAGTACTTAGTAGTGGACAGATAAGGTCAATTTCAATATAATTCCACTTTGCTTTTAGAGACTAAATTAAGATTCAATGAACATTCTTCTATGAATTCTGAATGTGATAATGTGATTCAAACAGTCACATTGTTAGTAGGATCTTAGTAACTCAGGATAGCGTTCCATACTAACCTCAAGTTAGCAAAACAAATTAAACAGTTGGGTTCTTAGGAGACTGCCTAAAAGATCAAGAAAATTTTCTCATCTTTTGTTTTTACTTAGAAACATTGCAAGAAAACTTGGAAAGTCTTCACCAGACCTGCCATGATTTTATAAGATTTAGGCCTCAGTGACATGCTTCTGAAAGTTTCCTGCCAGCCGTCTAAACTAAGCATCCACTCATTCCATCTTCCCAAAGTCACTCACCAATAAAGGTAGCATCCTTAAGCTCATTTTTGAAAGGTGGAGGAGGATCTCCCCCTGCCCGAAGGAATTTTTTTATCAGAATACCCTGAAAGAGGGGTATATAAATTTGGAAAACTTAATTTCTTGGCTGTGTTTGATAACAGTTCCTATGCATGGTTTTTAATGTGATGGAAATTTGTTTCTTTCTTTGGAATACCTCTCTCCACCCCCAACTTTATTCTTCCTCTTTAATGAATATTTTTATTGGAGTTCAAACTCCATGCCTTATGTGCTCATTCAGTTTTCTTTTTGCCCTTTGTTTACTCTGTCTGTATGTATGTCAAATGCTGGCAAAACTAAACTGTCAAGAAAATGCTTGAAAGTTGATTTGTCATAGTGCAAACTCATGATAAAATGTCTTACTGTTATTTGGATATGTAGTACATAGAAACAGAAAAATAAAGTCATTTTTATAACTTAAAATAGAGACTCGTCCCTCTCTTACTCATTTTTAGAAATCATGTTTATCGTTTGCATTTCTTAAACTATTACTAAGGCTCCCTTTTCTCTGCAGGAAATAAGCTGCATGCATTCTTTCACTTTGTGTAGAGCTAGTTTCTGTAATTGTGACTAATTATTTCCTTCCTTAATTCACTCTACTGTATCTACCTAAGGTGCCCCTGGAGTTTCATTTGGGTAATTAGTGCCTTAATATGTAATCTGGAGTGCAATTTCTATGCATTTGCCAGATCAGATTGTACAATGGCTGTCCAGCTTAGCTTTCAGTAAATAGTCTTATAGTAATGACTGTGGTTACTTAAAGGAATCGGCATGATCCTGCACAGCTAGGAGGCCTCCTCTAATTAGCCACATTCACTCCAGGCTTAGGGAAGCCCTCTACAAGGAAACTTTATGACCACTTATGCATAAGAAATGATGGGTAATTTTCAAAGTTAAATAGTCACTTTACATATTTTTATTAATAATAGTGTTTATTTTACTGATCATCAGCCCTCTGGAGAAGGATTGTTGAGATAAGGAAGGGTGGTGAGTGTGATGAGAGAGGCTATGTAAGTGTGAGTAGCAGAAATTAGAAGAGATCATGTGAGAGCTCTGGAGAAATTCTGGAGACAAGAGCTAGGGAATGCAATAGATGAGAGACATCTGGCGATTTCAGTGCAATCTGCACGTACAGAAAGAACTCTGCCCACTGCCATTCTCCACTGTCCCATCTTCTAGTCCTTTCACTTACACAGTATTGAGATAAATTCTGAAAATTTTTAAATTCGTTTAGTTATTAGTTACTATTGGCTAGCAACATAAACTTTTCATTTGGGTAGAGAAGTAAATGCATAAAAAGGAAGTTATTAAAGTTCATTTGAGACTCAGTGGAGTATTTACACTGTCAGAGCACAAGGCCCGCATATTTCTGAATGTAAGTTTGAATGTCATCCGAAATTTGCAAGTAGGAAAAAAGTGAAAGCTGTTCATTAGCTACATAATTTTGTGTGAGCATAGATATTTGAATGTAGACTGTAATGTAGGTTTCACATTTAAACCTATTTGAACACATTTAAGGACAAATAAAATAGTTATATGATCAGGCATATCATAACTGATAGAATATTCTCAGAGTTTGAATATTTTGCATAAAAGATACAAGATAGGCAATGATGTTATCAAACATGTAAACCAAATTGGCCATTCCGATTATTTTAATCCAGGGATTTTTCTGTTATAAAGTTTGAGAATAAGTAGAAAATGGGCTTTTTTCAATCCTTTACAGAGTTAATTTTATTTCAACTCGAGTTACATCTAGACTTTTACCATTAAAATATAAATACTGTTTGGTTCAATCCTTATTAGTCTCAGGTAACAGATGTCTCATGAAAAATGACACAAAAAGAGGCAACCTCTAAGTTTTACATTTTTTATCTTCTCCACAGTTATTCTACTCCCCAGCAGTGATGCTGATATGGCAAAAATATATATATAGCATTTCTTCACTTTGAATTGGGAAGGTTCTTGGGATTTTATTGTAATTTAACATAGACTATGTGTGGCAATTTTGTTAAAATCATACCCTAATATTCAGACAGCTTAAAAATCTTTCTTAGGATGATTTAGTCCAAGAACAATGAAAACCAATGCAAAAATGGGAAGATGTACTCCTTATGCATTTGAGCAATAAATGTCCACAAGCTTATGAAATAATGAGTTCTGTTCATGTCTATTGAGCTGTATGTATAAATTATATCTTCATAATTTAAATTTCTTTATGAAAAGTAGTTTGTCAGAGTGGCCACTCTTAACAAAATTCTAAAAGGCCATGTACAACAATGATCTCAAAATGAAAGCCAAGTTTTATTTAATGGGTGCAGGGCATTTCTGTGAGCCTTTCCAACAGGAAGTCAATTTGTTCAAAATTAGAAGACTGTTTTTTCTGAACTCTCCCCCAGGTTCTAACCTCTGGTGGTGTGACTCATAGACTTCCTGGTAATCACACATTGAGCCTTAACAATATCAGCATGCTAACAGATTTAGTAGTTTTATGCATCTAGAAACAAAGACAGGATGTTGACAGCCTTAAGTGATGAAGTATTTAAAATAAATTCATACTTGTAAAATTAAAAACTAGAGATTCAGCTTTAGTCAAAACAACCCAATCTAAACATTTAGCTATGTAAATATATTCTTAAATCCAGGTAACCTCTCAAAGAAACCGATTTCATGTCAAATGGGAAATACAAAGAATGTCAGATTAAACACCTGGTTTATATTAAATAAGGCTGTCATTTGTTTGGGGGGTAAGGGGAGAGTGGAGCTTAGAAAGCAGACTCCTGGTAAGAAGTACTTAACACACTTTCTAAAATTCATAGTGATCTGTTGCCCTTCAAATTCTACCAACTTTAAAATAATCAAATCTCAAGTACAGAAAACCAGCTAGTGTGATGGGTTTTCCTAACTTTCCCTAACTCAGAAACTGCTAGTGACTATTAAGTGCTTCAGTTATAAATCTGATCAAGAACTTGCATCGAAAATGTCAGAAAGTTAACTTCAAAATCTTATGGGAAAAACTGAAAATGACATGCTCCATCCCCGCCCCCCCGCCACCTCTCCACCCGCTGAACCATATCCTGCGTAGATATTCTTAATAGCACTACACTACACTATGGTAAACAACTGTAAGGCAAAAGTTGCATTCTGGGTTGTTTTCAAATATTTAGAATCGTTTTTTTCTTATATATACAGGGAGGAAAAAAAATTATACAAAAATGTATCCAGGATTCTACAAATGCTTTAATTAGGCTCAGTAATAAAGGAGTTATACTTACTCTGTTTATGTACTTTGATCAGACAGGGACACGCAGAGTGTTGGATATTCATAGAAATGCCCTTTCTATCGTCAGTTCCGTCCGTCCAAATCCAATCTAGGGCCCTGCATATATTAAAATCCATGAGACTTTTTAAAGCGTTTTCAAGACTTATTTAGATTTTCTCTTAACACTTTCTACCTGCCCCATTATTTAGGACACTTACCACTTGGATTATGTTGTTTTAGGACTTATCATATCTTTCCTTCCAAAGTTGGAGGCCCAGTGAGTGCAGAAACCAAGACTTCTTTAACTCTGTATTTCTCTGTGGTGCTTACCATTGTGACTTGTACCCAGTTGGCTCTAAAAAAAAAAACACTGAATTAATCGAAAGGCCTAACTCTGTTAACTGAGGCCCTTAGAATGTGAGGGACCATCACCTCTGTTCAAATTCACTCCTAGGTACATGAGTTTCTTAGGGCTACCGTGACAAAGTTCCACAAACTGGGTGGCTTAAACAGAAATTTATTGTCTCAGTTCTAAAGCACAATGTTTGCAGCAGGGTTGGTTCCTTCCAAGGACTGTAAGGAAGAATTTGTTGCGTCCCTCTCTCCTCATCTTTGATAGTTTGCTGGCAATCATTGATGATCCTTGATTTGTAGATGCATTACCTCCATCTCTGCCTTCATCTTCATATGACGTTCTCCCCATGTGTATCTATCTCTATGTCAAAATGTCCCCTTTTTATAAGAACATAGTAATACACCCTTATGACTTCATCTTAACTTGATAATCTGCAAAGACCATGTTTCCAAATAAGGTCATATTCACAGGTCCTGAGAGGTAGGACTTCAACATCTTTTGAGGGGATGGAATTCAATCCATAACACTGGGTGAGATTCTTCTCTTTCTTGATGAAGCTCTTAAATTCTAGGTTTATTACAAACAGAGATTTTGGAGCCATTGAAGAGTAGTTAGTCCAGAGCTTTTCAAATAATGTTCCAAGAAGCTCTAACTCTCCAACAAAGTATCTTGGAAGGACTCGGGGAGTGAACAGGGCTCCTGGTTTTATATCTGTTCCAATTAATACTTCCGTGTAACGAACCAGCCCAAAACTTAGCGGTGTAAAGCAACTACATTATGACACTCAGATTCTGTAGGTAAGGAATCTGGCACAGCAAAGACCTCTTATTTATGCTCCATGATGTGTGGGACCTCATTTGGCAAGACTTAATGGCTGGGAGCTACAGTCATCTGGAGGCATCTTCACTCCCAAGTCTGGCGTTTGATTCTAGCTGTTGGCAGAAACCTCAGCTGGGGCTATCGGCCAGAGCAAACCTCCCCATGCAGCCTGGGCTTCCTCCCAGCATGACAACTGCAGGGTAGTCAGGCATCTTACATGATAGCTTAGGGTCCAAAACAAGTGTTCCAAAAGACACAAAGGATGCTGCATCACCTGTCATGGCCTATCCTCGAAAGTCACGTTCCTCACTTCTGCCATACTCTTATTAGTTAAAACAGTCATAAATCTTGCCCCGTTTTGGAGCAGAGGCAGAGAAGACATAGAACCCACCTTTCAATGGGAGAAGTGCCAGTGTCACATCTTAAGAATATGTGGAACAGGAGATATCATTGTAGCCATCTATGAAAAATACAATCTGTCACACAATCTCACACCAAATTTTTCAACCATGGAGCAGCACTTTTAAATGTTTTACATGTAAGGACCTCTAACTCTTTAATGTTTGCTAACACTTATAGATAAGAAATATAGGATGCATAGAGGCCAAGAAACACTCATGAATTTCATACATTCTTTCAGCATATCCAGCAATTATCATAGAAAAGCAGAAAATTTACAAACCTAGTGTTTTCATTTCTCCTTTTCTTTGGGCAAGCCGGGAGAGCCTGGCAGAATACATATTATGAAATAGCTGCAAGAAAGCCATCATTTCATATTATTGCCTCTTTAAAATCATTATCTTTTTGACAAGATTTCAATGAGGCACTTTTACAAATTTTGATTAACACTCTTGCTTCTCCTAGTGTAAGCCAAAATTTCCTAAATACTCAGAGATGGGTGTGTACACACACCCCTTGTCTGTGACTTACACGAATGAATAAGAGGAAATGTCTCATCAGTCTCTGTGGTGAAAATGTGGAGAGACCAGGGGTGGGGCCTTAGCCAAACCCCTGAGCTTCCGTTTTTATCCCAACAGAGAAGTGTACTCAGAGCCCTAGCTTCCTGCCCTCCCCAGCCTGACCCTAGTGAAAGTTACAAACCCTCCCAGCGACTGCAGTACAGGCAGGTCTCTAGGCTTCTGCCTCCTTGCTTTGTGGCAGCCTTCTCAGTTGGGTCATATCATTCTTCTAGATCAGGAGGAACATTTAAGGTTGGAAAAAGTTTTCTAGGAAATAATTACTCATGAGCAAAGGGACCAGAAAAGTCCCAGAGATGTTCTCCAGCAGACAATTTAAACTAATGACTCGCTGCTGGGCAGCCTGCCCTATAATGGCTGATGTAAACTGTGTCTATGTAATGCTGTATTAAGATCTGCGTTCTCCCTCCAGCCTACTAAATCTCCAAACCAATTCATTGAGGGCTTGCATCACTCCTTAAGATTGAGATGAAATTGGCTCTACCCCCAAGTCCACTGCCCTCCCTAAGGTTTCATAAATTTCCAATGTGTTTACATTTTCAGGCCACTGACTCTGAGCCTCTGTCTCTATGGAATGTCTTCCATTCATCAGCTCACCATTGCTTAGGATAGATCTCCATTCTAGAGTTTGATCCTTGTTCTTGAGCAAACCACTGCCCTCTTCCTGGATTTCCCCCAGCGCTCACACTAGGTTTTTGTGCATTGTAGAAACTTTAATGAAGGTTTGGAGAGACAGCAGAGCGTTCATGAGAGCAGTGCAAGCTACTCTAAAACCCCATGTTTGTAAAGCCACCCCCATCCTCCCTCTCCCAGCCCTTCCATCTTTTTCTCTGCTCCGCAACACCCATCTCAGGTTCCTCACTTCTGGCAGAGGGCCCACTCACTTTCTCTCTTGTTTCCTGGTCTCTCACTCTCCACCTCCTCACTCTCACCCTTGGCCCCCCTAGCGGCTTACCCACATGTTTCTCTATACACTTCCATCCTGTAGGAGGGATTCTGGTGTCTGTTGTCCAGTTGTTTGATCAGCCTGATACAAGTCACTGCTTGACCTGCACCTCTTTCCTGTCTTTCACAATCCTCCTCTTCTGCCCTCTGGATAAGCCAAATCTTCAAGCTTATCCCTCAGCCTTTTGTACCCCTTTGTCCTTACCCCAGCACTTGGTGGCCTCATTTACCTTCAGGGCTAGGTCCACAGCCTTTCTTTGGCGACTCTCGGATTTCTACTTCTGGTTAGCATCTCTTTTCCACCTCCCACCTCCAACTGCCTTCTGGACATTTCCTCCTGCCTGTCACCTCAAGCTTCCTGTGTTTAGAAGCAAACCTCTTCTAGGCACAACTCTCGTATTTGCAACTGCCTCCTAAATAATCTCATCATGAGCTGCTCCCCCTTCCACACTAGACTCTCTCCTCTTCTCCACCACTAGACTGCTGTTCCCAGCTGTAACTCTGCCCTTATTGCTCCTCTGCTCAAAAACCTTCCCAGTGTCTTCTTGATGTTGTCTGTGGGCCTTACCCTGACTTTCGAGGTGGACCACAAGATAGGCCTGACCTGCCTTTCCAGCACAAGCCCTGGAGTCCAAAAGGAGTTCCAATTCTTGCTGTCCATTTACCTGATCCATGACTTTGAGCAAGTTCATTTAAACTCTCCAGCCTCTGTTTATATTAAAGCTATCCATATACTGGCCCTTCCCAGAAAGTACTAAAATGTACTGATGCTGGTCCCACCTCAGCCAAGTGCCTGATTAGCTCTATCATGGAGCAGTTTGGTGGGCTGTGAGAAGAGCTGAGTGGAGTTGGGGAAGATGGTGTGTTCCCTCTTCTCTGAAGTTCAGATGTTGACAGGTAGCTGGCATTATGGGCGCTAAGGGCTACAGCCAAAACTTGGGCTGCATCAGAGAATCTGAGCCTGGGAGGCCCTGATGTCATGCATGGCCATTACACAATCGGTCCAGAGTTTATATCCCATCTCTGCCACTTTCTGCATGTATGTTTTGGAGCAAATCACTTAGCTCCTTGAGCTACATCCTCCTCATCTGTAAAATGGAAACCCATTTGAAAAGTTCCTGTGAGGATCAGTGGTCTGAGGTATGTTATATGCCTAGCTCGATGCTTGCACTCAGAAAATTTGCTAGTCTCATGATGACTATAAACTGAGCTCTGGCTCTGGATAATATAAAAATTATCTACAATATTGCACATTTTCCTAAAGTCAACATTTTTTAACATGCAGAATGTGCTAGACAGTGTCATAAAGGCAGCAAGTTTGTATCTTTGTCCTCAAGGAGCTGGAGCGTCATGGAGGAGTCACAGCTAAACAGCTACCACTGGGTAGCAGGACGAGTGATGCAGTGAGTGTGTAAGTGAAGTCCTCTGGAAACACAACTGCTTTCTCAATGACCAGCATTTTCCGGGCACCTTCCAGGTAGCAGATACTGTTCTAGATACTTAAGGACCAAAAATCAATACTATGATCCTTGTTCTCAAAAAGTCCATAATCTAATAGGAAAAGGCATCCATGCATTCAGATAGCTACAATGTGTTGTAAGAGCTAACCTAGAAGTCTGTTCACACTAGGAGCAGTGGGGAAAGTGGGCCAGAGTCACCTGACCATGGGAAAGGTTTCAGGAGATGAACCTGAACTGAGTCTTGATGCAGGTGATCCCCAGAAGAGAGATGAAAGGACGTCAGGGAAAGAGCTTTTAGGGTGGGGACAGGGGCCTGAGAGACCATGTGGTGTCATTTGGAGGGCTTGGTGCCAGGGAAGGGTCATGGCCATTGGAATGGATGGGAGGTAAAGATGGAAAGACGTGAGGATCAGCTTGAGGGTGCCCTGTGTATGCCACCCATGCCAGAGAGCTCTTTATTTTATCCTCCAGCAGTGGGAAACTGGGGATGGTATTTCAGCCCATCCTCAGTTACATTCAAAGGCAGAATAATCTTACAGTCTGTCAGAGCCTCCTCTCTGTGTTCAAATTCTTGCAAAAAGAAAGAAACTACCATCTCGTGTTTTAGAAAACTAAAGGCTGCAGAGAGAAGCCAAGAGGCGGCAGATTAACAATGCCCCAAGCATTTCACGGTGCATGGGACTCATAAACATTAATGTGTTACTTCAGCTTGTCCTTGGCATCACTAGACCTCAGGAAAACTATCCAGCACTCATTGTCCTTTGTCCCTGCCTCTTCCTCCTTATTTCACACCCTGGTTTCTTTGCTTTGCTGCTGTTTTCCAGCTGATTACAGGAAATTTGCCCTGTTTCATGTCTAGAAAGTCAAAAGGAAATCACCCAGTTTACATGAACTCTGAGTGCCATTCTCAGTGCAAAGCTCTCCTCTTCCCTCTGCCTCTTATTGTACTGGTGTGCTCATTTGTGAGGTGCCATTCTCTGGGTATAAGAGGATATGCAAAAGTTTGTATCTGCCCATCCTCCTTCAAGTCTGCTCCCCGGGTAAGTCCAGTCTGCCTGCTTGGAGTCCTGTGGGCTGGATAACCCAGGGCGAGAGACACAGTGGAAGACGTAGCTTGGTTAGCCACGTGTCCCCATCAGACCTCTTGCTCTTTTTCTGTCCCCAGAGGAAAGGTGGAGCTTTCCTGCCCACAGAACTTAGTTTCATTTTCCTGTTCTTTCTAATGCTCTGTTCCTGCCCTACCCTCTTGGGTAGCACGGGCCTGAGTGTTTCCTCTGGACAGCACTCTGCAGAATGCTTTGGTTCTCCCAACCAAGGGCTTTGATACTACTGGGAAGACCGCAGGTTGAAACGCTAGAGAGCACACTTCTCCTCTGATGGTGCAATTGCTTAGTTATTTTGCAACCCCTGCCACAGCCTCTGGCAGGACCCTGTCTGCTGCAGCAGGGAGCCACAGCATCTCTGGCACCCACGCTCGCCTGACCACACC